TCACAGTGTTCTTATAAATAGATGCAAAATTCGATAATACGATTTGATGAAACTCCATTAGTGACAATAATTCAGTTATTATCATAATTTTTGCTTGTTACGGAAAGCTGGAGTTGTTGTCACTGTCTACATATAAAATTATTGATGAATTTGGAAAGAGCTTTTGAAATATCAATTAAGTATTTGCTATGTAGTTTCTCGTACCTTTTGTATGTTATATTGATATTGTCACCGTTGAAACCATATTACCTGGTTTTCCTTATGCAAACCCACTACTAACTTTACAGTAACCAAAAGAATAATTTCATAAATAAACAAAAATAAAAACTAAAAAGCACTTTATTGTATAATCTGTTAAGAAAACACCTATTTTGCACTTTATATTTTGAAGGTAATTTCACATTTAGTATACTTCATTTACTTTCTCTAGCGATGTACCCCTTCCAATGTCTTGGATGCACGCTGGCAAAATCGTAGGTAGGGAGAAAAAAACTCATTATACCCTCGACTCTTGTTCATTAAACATGCTTTTTCATACAGTACCTGCCAAAAGGTTTGTTCAATCATGAATAGTAGTGCGAGCGAAAACAAGCGTTAAAGCCTTTAATATGTCTTCAAATATAAATAAACATCTCGTTGATATTATCAATAGTAAATGGTACCAATAACAGCACATTTGAGCAATGCAATTGTAGTGGATAAAATGGTCAATTTTTACGTGCAGAACTGTACGCATTATACGCTCCTCGTGAGTTTGGCCGAGAGTTATCTCCTTCCTTTTCTGGCCTAGGGCTGTTCTGTTCTACTTTGCGCCGGTCAAACTGAAGATCATATCGCTACAGAAAGTAAACGAAATATAGCTTAAAGTAATATATTATTATCATTTCATAACATTGAAATTAAAGGCTCCTCCATACCGAAGCGAAATATTGGCGTTACGAATTTTCGCAGCGAAACATTAACAATGCGGCTGCGACACTTATGTGCGACACCTCTGCTAACGATGATTTCCTTCAATGATATAGAAACTTTGCTATTATTAGCTGTTACTGAACAGGAAGAAGTTAAATAGGTAGATAAAATTTACCGTTCTGTCCTAATTATTACCCAATCTCCTTCCAAACACTGTCCTTTTGGTTTTTACAATTTTCATTCTACTGACCGTACATTATAAGATACGTTACCATATACTTAATTAACATTTCGACTAGCGCCTTTTTCTTCTCCTTCCAAACATTATCTTTTCCCTTTTATTAACTTTCATTCCACTAGTCATATAGAAAAGATTATGTTGTCATAAACTTAATTAGCTTTTCGGTTAGCGCCGCTTCTATATAATTTCACAACAGTGGCAGCGGAAAAATTCTGCGTGTAGCTTCCTTGCACTGCCTCGACCACAGCGGTTCCGCGTCTATTGGTCAATATGTGTATATTCGGTTCACCGCGGAACTTCTGCGTCGGTGCGAAATCGTTTCTACATCTTTAATTAAAATTGTAAATGATTTTGATTCTTGGTAAATGTTATGTGATAGAAATTAAAATCTATATCAGTCCATCAAACAATTTGTAATCATAGAAGGATATTGGGCCGTAGATTTAGTTTGGCATTTCAAAAATACACCAATATTAAATACATAAGGCATAATAATAAGCCTAAATGTAATCAATAAGACTTGTTTGTAAAGGAAGGCTTCGAAAATGTCTTGTATACGAATTTACGTCATATATTCCCTCTTTCGACTTATCGTTAGTGTACACATTTTTAGATATTGTTTCATAACATCAATATTTAATATTATTAGATACTTATGTGAATACCGTAGAGAAATGAGATAACATTTTTTTTGGCAAAGAATATAAAGGCCTGATTTTTATTATTTGATAGCTTTGTCTTTCTTTCTTTTGAAGTCTTTTTGACAAACATGAAAGCAAAGAATCTTTGTTCACGAAAAGCTCTTGATATTTTTCAAAGCCGATTTTGTCAATTTTCATGTCGGTGATGGCGGTTGTAGAACTGAAAATATGTAATTTCTTTTCTTTTTCTACTTATGTGTGGGCAAACTTAAAATAAAGCAGTTCTCGTGAGGGTTCAACTAAAGGACCTCTCCGAATTTTTGTTTTGAACAGCTATAATAGAATAGAACTATGCATGAAAAGATTTGTTTATAGCGATGTATTTAACTTTGTATTTTTATCAATTCCATTGCAAATAACAAGATTTCCCAAAAATTTTCGTCAAATCGTAGTTACTTTAATTGTACCTATCTAGAAAACTTGCGTAATGCTTTAAGTCACTATGAAAATTGAATATTTAATTGATTATATAGTTTTGTGTTAATTTTATTTGCAAAATATAGACTAAATTATCCAACGTATAGGAAAATCTTATTTATTTACGTACAATAAGTGTACCTTTTGTTATTATTTATTAACTATATAAGCGCATTTCAATACAATTTTTGAAAGCTATATAATAATTTATTTTCAAAATCGGTCGGTCATTCCAATTCTTTGTCATGAAGTCCTTAAATAACTTGAAGCTCCCAAGATTGTTATGCTTTAAATAGTTAAACTACAGTTTAGTCCTTTTGTTCTTTTGTACCTTTTATATTTCATAATTTACACTTACTAAACTTTGCAGTTATCTCTATTGTGCTAAAAACAAGAAAGACTAAATGCGGCAAAGAGAAACCTCAAAGTTCTGTGTACTTTAACTACAGTAATTATAAACTTTCCTATAGAATAGCTTTTATCTTTACTATTATGTTTTAGAACTCATCAGCCGTCAAATAATTGTATTAAATTAGTTCTTTTCCTTTTTCTACGGAATCAGAGCGAAGATTAAGATTTATGAATGTTCATAATACAGTAATGAAATATCATTTTTTGTCAAGAAAATCAGAAACTTTATTTTTTTCTGAGAATTATTTATTATTTATCTATAGTAAAACACCACCAAAACCTGCGAAATATCGATATTTATAGTCAGTGAATATAGTCCAGAGAAATTCGATTTTTTCCAGAACACTAAAAACCCAGGTATATGACAAATTTTTCAGGTAATATATGTATTTGCCTACAGGAACAAAACTTATGATTTTTCTTCAGACGAATTGCCTTCTTTTAGTTATTAACAATTAAAGACCAAAAAATGTTCAGTTTTGCTAAAAAAAAGATTCCGTAAGAGAACGTTTTCGTAGCAGGCAGTTTTACCTCCATTCTCCTTTACCCACGGGGGCCTTCTTTTAGTCACATCCACACTAATTGTAAACGTGACATTAAACATCACGAACACCGAATTATCGAATGTTACAAGCACAAACACTACAGACTTGCATTATCTGCATAGTTCGCGCATCGTACCCTTTGTTTGTATTTCCGCGCTTCTAGCATTTTCACTCTATTTAAACAAACGTTAGACACTTCATCAGCCTAGGAATTTCCGCACTGCGAAACTGCTCGTCAAATTGTTCACCACTATGTTGGAACCGACGGTAGCGGCCTTTTTAATAAAAAACTTTCCGAACTCTGTCTCTTAAGTTGATATAGGTATATGTCGTATTAGACATGTTACAAAATTAGCCGTATTATAAAATGCCTTAACAAATTGTGAAACGTATCTACATAGACATACAGGAATTTTACATTTGTTCCCCGAATGTATATTCGTATGCCTAAGCATTCTAGTCTTATTGCAGTATGATGGTGTCTATCGGCATTAAAGGATGTTAAGAATTATTTTGTAACAAAATCCTTACACAATTAGGCATACCTTTTATAAAAAGAAATTGAAAAAGAAGCTAAGGTAACTTAAGCCAACCCTAGCCTAACCTACCATACTAGGTAAGATACTATTTTACAGTTAGTTGTGGAGCCACCGGAGACAGAGATTCAAATTATATTATTACTCCAACATCAATAAATTCGTTGGTCACCCAGATTACCACTGCTAGAGACATGCTACAATAATAAGCCAAATTGATTTTCGAAAAACAAATTTTTGAAACATCCACAAAAAATAATGAAACTTAGAAAAANTACCATACTAGGTAAGATACTATTTTACAGTTGTGGAGCCACCGGAGACAGAGATTCAAATTATATTATTACTCCAACATCAATAAATTCGTTGGTCACCCAGATTACCACTGCTAGAGACATGCTACAATAATAAGCCAAATTGATTTTCGAAAAACAAATTTTTGAAACATCCACAAAAAATAATGAAACTTAGAAAAATAAAATTGAAATCAATATCCATTAAATACTTCTTAAAACCAAATAAAACATTATTGTTTTATTGGACTGTTTTACAAATGATATTCTAAATAACATTCCAGGTTTTTCCATCAAACATTTTATAAGTTTCCGATTGAAAACTCCTAATAATTTACCAACATCAACACAAATTCGAGACCCTCTTGAGACTTCGTTAAAATAGTTTGGACACTTTGTTGAGTAATTACCTAAAATATCATACTAATAGTAAAACAAATAAAATTAAAAGTCGTAAATTTTGATATGAAAAAGGTATTTCAAAAATTTGTGACTAAGAAAAAGATGCAAAACTTTGAAAAACGAATAAAGTGAATGAAATTAGAAAATTATTGAACTAACAAAAAAATTAATAGAATTTGATTTTTAACATTTGCTTTCTTTACTTTATTGGTAATCAAATTTGAATCAAATCGAGAGCATTCGTTAGTAAGTACTTTCAGTATTTCCACTGCGCCTTTGGGTTATAAGATTTCCTTCGTATATAACATCTAGTGGCTAGGTGTATTTTAGAAATTGTCGATAGTGAGATATAATAAATTTTAGGGTGCCGGTGGTATCGATTGCTACCCGAGGCGTTCGCTCATATATCACTGTGTATAATCACCCATCAATTTAATACAGTAATAATACAAAAATAATAAATACAATCCACTACATTTTGAAATTATATATATAACGAATGAAAAATTGTATAATAATAGTATAATATTCGTTTGTTTCAGTCTTTGTTAACTCACGTGTCGAGGGCTACAAAGAACACGCTGAACAAACTAGGCGTATTCACCGTTTCATCGTTCCATGCCTTTATCTGTGCGAGGAGTCCTTCGCTTCTCAACAACCTCTTGGCTGGCAGAGGTGCAACAAAAAGAAGACCCCCAATGCTCTCTCGGTCTAATAGCGGATCAAGCAGAAGATCACTTCAGGTATGTTCACTTATAAAAGATAAAAACATCTTTGCGCCGTCCTATCGCGATCTATACACAATAAAACAACAATCGTTCTATGGCAGTGACTAATTTTTAAACTGAAATTAAAAGGATTGGCGTTGTTTGAAGTGATATAAAAAAATCTAATAAAGCGTGTTCAAAGTGTCGAGGATCTTTGAGATCCTTAAGTAGGCTATCCATTGTCGCGTGATAAAGGAACTGAAGAGTATTGTCGCGACGAAATTCTTAAAGAACTAATGAACTTTGCCCTTTTATAGAAAGCGGACGTATTTTTACTTCCTTCAAATTAGGGGGCGATCATTAATTACGTAAGTTTAAGATGGGGGAGGATGAGAGGTCCAGCAAAATTACATCAAATCTCATTTAAAGGAAGCGGGGGGAATCACCCTAGACAAAAATTTTCAGTCTCTCTCTAGTCTCTCAGTCTTTCAGAGTCATTCAGCGTCTCTCACAGTCTTTCACAGTCTCTCAGTTATTGCCTAGGTGTTTTTATGGATCTCTCACAGTCTCTGTATGAGAAACTCGAACGATAAAATTGTTAATTCAGAGATTCGAGTCTCTCACAGAAAGACTGAATGAATAAAACTGAAAATTTGAGACTCGAGTCTCTCGTAGAAACGCTGGGATCTCTAAAATATGTTGAACTTTTAACCATGTATATCGAGACACCAATTATTGAGAGATTCGAATCTCTCGTTTAGAGACTGGAAACGAAATGAGAATCTCTGTATGAGCGACTCGAGTCTCTTGTTCAGAGCCGCTAAACAGTTTTTGACAGTCTCTCGACAGTCTCTCTCAGCCACACCAGAGAGACTCGATGAGAGACAGAGACTCTAGTCTCTCTTTCAGAGACTCTGAGAGACTGAACATTTTTATCTCGGGCATTTCAGTGCAATGTGGAGAAATGCTATTTATTTGTATATAAAATCCTGATTCCTGGCCTGCGGAAGTATTACGTCGGCTATTATAGTATATGTCAAGTATATAAGAAATGACTCACAATTAGTCCCAGCACCGTGTGAAATGGGGTCACCCTGTACACTGTACAGCCAACTAGAGCGTTATTGGGTTATTAAAGTTTCCAACGGTGTAGTGTCGCATTGCAACAGTGCCATCCATTGATTATTAACATCACCGCTGTTACATTCATTGTTCTTAGTTAATCAGAAGACGAATCTTACATTATTCTTCAAGTAACTAAAGAAGGAATGCCTTTTTATCTTATGCTTAACGTTCTTCGAAAATCGCGAATGAGAATATCCCGAATGTTCTTTTTCATTCTGCAAAAAGCTGCAGAACGTTAATTATAAAGTAAAGCCTTTTACACAGTCACATTGTTCTTTTTGAACTTACGATATAATGAATTTCAAGGTTTTACCTACTGTGTTTTACCACTGTAAGCAATTTTACTACGTCGCGCATTAAAAACTCGCAGAAATGTATAGACATGTACTATCTGACTTACGAATGTTAAAGTTTTAAAAGCATTTTCTTCGAGATTCTCCAGAGACACGATCATTCCATATTTTGATAAAAAAACACGTTCACAAGTTTGATCCCACTTTGTTTCCTTTACCAAAAAAGACTCTTGTTTGGAATTTAAAGTGGAAACGTACTCAAGAACATCACCGCAAAAAGATGAAATTCTTAGACAAGCAATCTCAAGTTTTATTAAATCGTTTTATTCCGTTTTAGACTAGCGAATCAAAACAGAAAAAACACGTTGCGTTATTAGATACCGTACACTGAAAAAGAAAAAAAGCTAATTTTAAAGCTATTTTCTACGTTACGGAAATATATATGGAGCAGCACAGATTGCTAGTAAATCTTCACCTGAGGAAATTTTATACTTACTGTTGAACTTGTTGATGTTCAGCTTGGTCCCTTTTAATCAAAAATATACACACTGCTTCCCACGCGAAAAGAGCACCGGGGTTTATTTTCGGGGTAGGTTAAACGGATAGAATAAAAAACGGAAGAGTTCGCCTTCTTGTAAAGTGAATAATAAAAATGATAATGTACCGTAATGATTTTATATAAATATTCATTTAAAGGTACAGGCCAAAATTTAATGATGCTAATACACCGGGTGTATGTGAAAGTTTATTGTGACAATCATCATTTTTTGTCAAGTAATCTTGCTTATTATATTGAAATTTACATTTTAACAACTTTTATCAACTAATAATAAATTGATATCATAACTAAGGCACATTTTTCTTAATACTACAAAATATATATTTTTTTTCAAATTCTAACGAAAGCAAAATATATCTTGTTTGAAGCTAAATATGCTAATGAAACCTGTATCCCCTCGAGCACTGTCATATAAGGTCAATGTGATGCTTTTTTCAAAATCTTATATTAGCGCTTACATTAAAGCCATCCTTTGAAGTCATGATGGGGCGTATTTTCGGGATCTCGTCAACACGCGTAGATAGTTCTTATAGAATATAACTGTACCTGCTACCCTTATCAATTACTACAAGTAGCGTTGTAAACACCATCTTACTTGTCGAACATGTTTGAATCCCTTTGAAGTGTAGCAATTTACAACAGATGGTTCTAATTTTTGCCCCCGACCTTGAAGGGATTGTGGATTCAAACTTACAAAGCGAGGTCAGCACCGCGAATCATTTTTTCATCGAGTTTTTAATTAAGGTGCGGTAGATGAAATTACCCCCTAAATACATATCCTAACACACATGTGACTAACTTTAGTAAATTATTAATTGTTTAAAGAATTTGACAAAACATAGCATCCGTGCAATAAAAACCGTTCGTAATCATCTTATAATACGTGGAATGTTTTATTTGAAGCTTTTTGAAAAATTTTGAGATCCAATCAATGTATTTCATTGTATCAAAATAAATGACTCACCCTACTTAGAAGAGGTGACTATTTATTAATATAATTTTAAACATTAAAAATAATTAGGAAAAACACTGCACTGTTATACCAAAATAAATAATAAATACCTTCTTATTGTTTTAAATACGGTTTCTTGAATTGGTTACTAATTACACCGGTTAAAATACTTC